AGGCCCCGAATTTGGATCGTATGCAAGCTTTCTAATTCTAAGGGTGGAGAGCCACTGCATCTAGATCCGGGACTAAACCTGTAGCTTTCTTCCAGAAATGCTAAGGAGACTGCCTGCCATTTATGCAGGACCTCAGGCTCTGCTCAGCACAGGTGTGACCCTGAGCCATCCTGCAGTTCTGGTTTTTGCTGGACAAGTATTTTTGCTCCAAAAGCAGAAGCAACTTGCCTGTGGTTTTAATACCCCTAATGATGGCATTGAAAATGAAATGCAGACTGGCCTGCCTCTGAAGCCTGTGCCATTCCTGTTACCCACCATGACACTCTGTCTTCCGTGCCTGATTTCCTGATGCCCACTATTGGGAATGGTGTACCCTTCTAACCAGTTCTGCCAAAAAGAAAAGCTCTAACATTGACAAAGTGGGCATTTTGGAAAAAGTATTTGATTGGAAGTCCAGTACCCGGGCAGGCTCACACCTTGGCTATGCAGTTTCTTCTCTTCATGACTTTGGGAAAGTCAGTGCTGATGTTACTTAACTTTGAAGGCCTCATGTTCTTGAGCTGCAAAATGGAACAGTTTTAAACTATCAAATGCATGTAGAAAATGTAGTCATCTCGTTGTGAATTTAAGTCAGTACTTTGCTCCTGTAGGGTATTATTTTTGTATAACCAGTAGTAAATCTGGTTTAGAGTTTTAGTTAGAACTGTTCTATTTAATTTATTGAGCATCGGTTGCATATCAGACCTAGTGAAACTTACAGAAATGCAGGAGAAAAATCTCTCATCTCTCAAAAAAAAAAAAAAAAAAAGAATTTTTAACGGTGAGGACTTAGAGGGTATATTTTGCTGATAGGACAGCAAAATCATTTTCTGTATATATCTAGACAACACAATAAAGGAAATAGCTTTTCCCCACTTAGAGGCAAAGAGAATTGCTCATAACAAAGTATAAAATCTTTGCTCTGAGGCTTTACCCTCCCTTTCATCCACCCTTGCTAAGTCTGTATTTAGCTGTGTGTTTCACATATCTAGCAAAGAGGAACTTGATGCTTCTTCATCTGTGTCCCAGGGCAACTTTGGTCAATTGACTTGTTCCTCTTTTTCAGATAAGGAAGAAAAGATTCTTTATGCAGGAAAGGGACTAATAGCACAAATAAGTCAAGACTGTAAGTGCACAAGCTCTGGGAATGAGCTGGGTGTTGAAATGGTTCTGCGAGTCTTTATGTACTGGTGTGGTCATCTCAATCACTAAATAGACTCCTGAGAGGCCCAAGGTGGAGGTTACATTATTTAAAATAAAATAATAAAATAAAATAAAATGGATAAACGTAAGCTATTAAGGACTACTAGCCTGAAAATGAAAAATCACAAATAGAAAAAATGTAGCATTAGATTGTACCATTGACCACCTTTTTCTAATACACTGAGTGTTAGACACAATATGCTGTTTCCACCTTTGTGACCAGTGGAAGGCTTAGCAACTTGAAATGATCCCACTCACAGGGTCCCATGACTCCCTCTATCTCCAAACTGAATGTTCAGGGTCAGTACTGATGATCAGGTACCAGCCATACAGAAATGGACTCAACAACAGAAAATTTAGAACCATCCAAAGAAATATCATGGCAGAAATGTCCTTTTTAGATTTCTGATGAGCTTTTAAAAAGAGTCTTCACTTTGGGGTTTTTGTTAACTGAACACACAACAGAGGTTCCCTAAACACCCAAGTGTCAATTAAATTGTTCCTTGTACCTTCCTACAGCTGAAGGTTGTATCTGTCCCAGTGGTGGGTGGTAAGTGAACAGGACCCAACAACTTAAGAGTGGAACTAGAGGTAAAACCAGCCAGAGTCCTTAACTCCTGGATCAGAACCCGGCAGGGCTAGGCAAGAAGCCTCAGCTCTCAGCAGCTCCACAATCCAAAACATCTGTTTCTGCATTTGGCACAATTCCACGTTTTTTTATTTGTAAAATTGTTCCCATCTTTGAAAACACTTTTAAAAATAAAGAAGTCCCCATTCTGTCTCCTCTTTCTACTCCCCAACACATGCATTTGTAATTACCTGGTTTAGTCTGTGTGTTTAATCAGTTTAAATTGAGAATGTTGTGTACATCTGATTTCAATCTGAAGGAGTCATTGAGCACTGGGCAGTTACCACCCTGGAGTCTGCCAAAACATGCCTCTGCCAAAAAATGATAGGACTCGCATCAGGGTATTTCCTAAAGAAGCCACTTGACTCAGATTAGATGTTTAATTTCCTTAAAATATTGTTTTGGATTTGGGTCTCTGTTCCCTAGTTGGGGTTTTTCTGATGTAATTTAGGAATATCGCTTATTTGCTGAGTTTGTTCCAGGGCTCAGCTGGCAATCTCCTAAAAGCTAAACCTTACCAAGTCTACTTTACTCCGAGTTCAGAGCTTCGTACCTTGCTGCTTTGAAGGCTGGGCCAGGCCCATGTCATGACCATGTCATGGTCATGTTTATGGAACCATCATCTATACAATGCAATCGAATCAAGTTTGAAAGAGGAACTTTTCCAAATACGGTGGTGGAGTCACTGGTCAGAGTTTGCACATCTTTTGAGATTTTTTTTTTTTCTTTTTTGATTCCTATTTTGATCTTTTGAGACAGGGTCTCCCTTGTAGCCCCAGCTGGTCTAGAACTCTCTATGTATATCAGGCTGGCCTCCACCTCACAGAGATCTGCCTTCCTCTGCCTCTCTAGTGCTGGCATGTGGCAGCGTGCCTGACACCCTTTTTGTTTTCTGAGACTGGGTCCTTCAAAATCCCACTAAGGCAGTCCAGGACGGGCCTTGAATTCCCAGTCGTCTTGCCTCAGATGGGATCACAGGCGTGGGTGAATATGCCTGACTTTTGAAACCTTTGTCTCTAATTGAGCTAGGAAGTAAAATTAAGTTGTAATGCTTATTATCCATTTGAGATTTGTTTTTACTTACAGCATTCATGTATCAACTGAGTTTGTAGATTGAGATCATAAATTCTGTGTCGGTTTTCCTCTCGAACTATAATTTCTGAATGGTGAAAAATTAAAATGACGGAGCTGAACTTTTTCCAAACATCTTTTAAACATTCTGGTGTGTGTGTGTGTGTGTGTGTGTGTGTGTGTGTGCGCGCGCACGCGCGCACATGGACACGCATGCCATGACTTGTATACAGAAGTCAGAGGACAACTTTCAGGAGTAGCTTCTCACCTTCCACTTCATTGTGGCAAATTTCCTCTTACTCTGCTGCCACGCGGCGTGTTGCAGGCTGGCCTTTGTATCATTGCAGCTACCTTTTTATATGACTCTGGGGATCAGGCTTGTGCAGAAAGTGCTTTACCTACAGAGCCATCTCCTCAGCCCTTTCTAAAAGTTTGAAACCAGAGTTATTGAAGTTCACGACCTGGAGCCCTTGAGAGGCTCCAGGAGCCCCTTTGTTAGAGTTAGTGCAATTGATGAAAAAATCTTGTATATTCTGCACAGTGGAAGAGCTTTACATGTCAAGGAGAGATGGCTGACTTTCCACCTGAGTATTTTTTGTGGGGCCATGAGACCACCTCAAAACAACCCCCATCGTACTAAAAGCAAAATGAACATAGGTTATACAGTAGGGACCCTTGCAACCTCTGTGTCTTTGCTTTAAAAATCTGTTTTAATTGTGACATATTTACACAACTGTCAGCTGATTGGAGTTACTGGAGGATAGCTAGAAATTTGTTTCTCAAGAAAACAATCAAAGCCAATGAAGAGAGTTGAAGATGTAGCTGCCTGGTAGGGCACTTGCTTAGCATTCACGACACCCTGGGATCCATCCCCCAGCACTGCAAAAAGAAGGGGTTCATAGAAAGCTGAGTGGTGCAAAACTAAGATTCCCCCATAACAGCGCTTCACAGTGGAATTGATCTTTCCTTTCGGAAATACAAACATGTTTTACTCATGCAACGAACATTTAAAGTCCGCTTTCTGGGATTCTGTGTCCTCCAGGAAGGGTCCCTAAGAGTCTTGTCACCACGGGCCTCCACCTTCCTGCCTTTGTTTCACTCAGAGCTGCGCACCCAGGTGTTCTTGTGTCTCTCGGACAGCTGTGCTCCGATATACGAGGTGTTTATCTTAACTTGGAAATCTCCGAGGCAGCCTCATTTCTGCTTTCCTCCCATCTTGCAAGACACCACATGAAACTGGCAGCTGCTTTTCCAGGGTCAGAGTTTCCTTCTCCCAACACACAGTTGAGCCCCAGCCACCCTGCCTTTCTGACTTCCCTGAGCTGCAGAGGAGCTCTGGCAGCTGGGCAGTGCTGTGTGCAAGTAGAACTGTTGCTCACCCAGCCTCAGGAGTTCTAATTTTTCAAAAGCTAAATTAAGCACCAACTGATGTGCTCATTACACAGAATTTTCTTTGAGCATCTCCTGCCTGTCAGGCTAAGCATATGTCATAGATTAATAACCCAGAGAGCCAAGACCCTCCCCCTGCATGTTGTTGAGGCAAAGGGTGTGTTACCTAAGTCTGGATGGAATGGAACAGAGTCCTTCCTTACTCTTTGATGGTTCTGTGAGTCCAGTACTGTGCTTTGGTATTTCGTTTGTGATTCTTTATATTCAGAAGGAAGAAACCTCTGCCCAGAATAGTGTATTTGTATCTGACCGTGGTGGGATTGGTGGTGGAAGGAGAAAAGTTGGGATATGGAGATTGCTAGTTAGTATAGAATAGACGATGTAGGTATGAAGATAGCCAAACCTAGCAAGAAAAGGTTTTTATGCCGGGGAACGATAGGATCGCCAACCACGTTAGTCAATGCCATAGTCATAGCTGACTGAAGAGTTGGGACAGTAGTTACAGCAAGCCCAAAATCTTCTGTGTGTACAGTATGTCTTCAGACACACCACCTGGACTGTGCATTCCATCTCTGTAGTTCTTGACTAAACTGGAACAGGAACAGCTGGCATGTTTACTGCATTTTTGCCGCCACGATGCATTTATCTGGGTTCTCCCTTTCTCCTTTAGAGTTGCTGGAACTGTGGCCGGAAAGCCAGCGAGACCTGCAGCGGCTGTAACACAGCCCGATACTGTGGCTCTTTTTGCCAGCACAAAGACTGGGAGAAGCACCACCACATCTGTGGACAGACCCTGCAGGCCCCGCAGCAGGGAGACACGCCTGCAGTCAGCTCCTCCGTCACACCCAGCAGCGGGGCCGGGAGCCCGATGGACACTCCACCAGCAGCCACTCCGAGGTCGACCACCCCAGGAACCCCCTCCACCATAGAGACAACGCCTCGCTAGACCTGAACTCAGACTGTCAGAGGAAAGACAACGCAACCAACATGAAACCAATTCCTCATCCTCAGATGCTCAAAGTCGTTTTTCTGTTTGTTTGTTTATAGATGAACTATCTATCCCATTTCAGTACTTTGGCAAGAGAGAACCTAACTGTATCTTGAGGCGGTAGTAAAACACAGAGGGCCAGTAACGGGTCATAATGACTTATTGTGGATAACAAAGATATCTTTTCTTTAGAGAACTGAAAAGAGAGCAAAGAATATAACGTGAAATGCTAGATTTGACCTCCTCCCTGTTATTTTCAAGTAGCTGGGATTTTAAACTAGATGACCTCATTAACCGATGCTTTACCAAACAGCAAACCAAGAGATTGCTAATTGCTGTTGAAAGCAAAAATGCTAATATTAAAAGTCACAATGTTCTTTATATACAATAATGGAGAAAAAAAAAGAGGCAATCCCTCAAGGGCATGAGCATTGGATACAGCAGTAGACATTTTTACACGAAGATGAATGGCGTCTCTGGGATGCTAACTGAACTTTGAAGACCCGCTACAACACACGCAGATGTGCAGCAGGTTGGAAGGAGACACAGATGTTCTGTTTTTTTCCTGTTTCTGAAAAGAAATAATAATATCCAGGTCAACAGAATGAAAAATGAAAGATGATTTGCAGTGGGATGTATGAATACAGCAGCAAGAAAAAAAATGCCATAATACAAAGGCTCCTTTTTATACACACGCACACACACACACACACACACACACACACACACACACACAAGACTCAGCCTGCAGTTAATTAGCATTCTGGCAGCTTCCACATCAGCCAGCTGCCCTAAATAACCCTTCAACATTTCTTCACTTTTTCAAGGTTCCGCAGAGCAAGACATTGGGTCAATTCCAGCTCATTCATTTTATATTGAAAACTAATTTTTAAAAAAGTGGTGGCTCCAGCTCCAGCCCCTTTTCAAAATTTTTTCAGCCCCACCCTGTTTGGATTTTTAATTAAAAACTAGTAGTTCTCTTGGTGTTAAAACACTTCTGTCCTGTGAGGTTTTCCCAATGGTGTTTTTCTTGTAAATGTGTTGGACAAATGTGAAGATGCATTGTAGTTTATCCATATGCCCACATTTAGTCTCTTTATTCCTAGTTGGTGAGAAACCTGTATCTTTCTATGCTGCTTTTATATATGTATGTATTAGTGATATTTCTCTAGTAGTTAAAAAAAAAAGAAAAAGAAAAAAAAAAGACCTCTTTTTGGTTGTCCTCAAGAAAAAGAAAAGAAAAAAAAAGCTATCTTTTGGAGCTGCTATTTCACTCTCTTATAGGATTTTTTTTCCTGGAAACCAGCATGCTTCACGGAATGCTAGCATATGGGTGTTTTGTAAGAGGGATGTACATAAATGTATTTTGCACTGTCACTCTGACTCCCTAGGCATGCTTTTTTTTTTTTTCAAAACAAACTTTTAAATATGCTAGAGCCATTTCACCAGTTTTAGCTGTAGCATAGTGTAGTAGTGGAATTTTTCTTTCCTTTTTTTCTTTTTTATGAAAAAAAATTATTAGGGACTTTTTAAAAGAATAAAATAACAAGATATCCTACTTTAAATAAAAGGACAGTGCATGCATATTGCTGTAAGGTTGTTTAAGTATTTCTAATTTTACAAAAACAAAAAATAAAAAAATCATTAGAGCTCCAAATGCTGAGGTGTAGACTGACAGCTTTAACACTGCTGAATGCCAGGTTAGACAGTATTCTTACAAAAGGGAAGTCAGCCAAAGACTGATCTGATGGACCAAAATCGGAATTTTGAAAAGCACCAGTACTACTTTCCAAATGATCAGCAGGTTAAATATGTTCAGCAAGGTATAGTGTGAATCCATTAACCCTTCGTTGTCCAGGGTCCAGACCAGAACTACTTGTTAGTTTTGAAACACAGTAGCCCAGGATGTGGTTGTGTGCTTTACAAGAGTCGGAGTGCTGCAGGCTGTATAGACAACCAAAGTTGCTAAGGCTGGGAAGACACTTCTTCTCCACATACACATACACCAGGCATTTCTTTAAAAATCGAATACAATCCATTAGCTTGGGGGAGGGGGGTTAATGTAGCCCTTGGATACAGTTTTAAGTGGCTTTTAAGTTATCTGCATAGAGGCGATCCTCAAATGGGTTTGCTTTGCGTCTTGCAAATCTAAGATTTTCTTAAGCATTTTCCCCTGTATTTTCTTCTACAAGTTGGTATTAATTTTGTTTGGGTGGTGTTGTGTTCTTCTTTTTACTTTTAATGGCCTTTTAGTTTAGGAAGTTCTGATGAGCAAATCAAGGCATCTATCTGCATGTTGGAAGTCCATCTGCCAGCACACCTGCTTAAAGTGAAATGAAAGCACATAACCAGGCTCTGAATGGGTTCTATTTTTATCATGGTGCTCCCAGAATCCTTTGACCTCATTCTGCTTTCTAGTCTGCTTGTGACACTGGACAGTCCTTTCTTAGAGCTATTATATGTTCTAGGCTACGAAGGGTTAAATAATCCCAAAAATGAGGTATGTCATACCCACACGTCTTTATCTCTAGAAGCTGTGATGTATGTGGAACAGCACTGTTATTAACAATAGTGTGTAAAATAAGGATTAGTACAGTACGTCTCATTCCTTTTTAATTCAGGGCACCCTGAGTGAAAACAAATACAAAAAAAAAAAAAAAAATCCCTAACTCTGAGCTCTATCTCTGATTCCTCTTCCTCCTTCCCCTCTTCCTCTTCCTCTCCTGTTTTGCTACATTCTCCTCAGTGGCAAAAAGTTTCACTCTACCTCTGACAGCATGTATATTGCACCAGTAGCTAACAAAAACTGGTCTAGTCAAACCAAATGGGCACAAAAGAACCAGGATACCAAAAGTTAAGCTCATACAGCTGCAAACCATATCACTTCTTGGTAACAATGCAGACCTCATAAACCTAAAAAAGAGAAAGAAAAGAAAACTTTTGTTACTTTCCTTTTTTGCTTGTCACTTATATACAGGCTATGTGAGAGTATAATTTGTAGGTATTACACATTAAAAAAAGTTATCTTCATTGGATAGAATTGAATGGTGGTCGCTGATAGGAATAGGGCGTCCTCTTTCTCTTATCTCTGTCTCTTCACTCCTTTCTCTTTCTCTTTTTCTCTGTCATGAGACTGTGTGTGACAGGGCCACCTGTCTTTTTAATTTCTTTCTTAACTTTTTTTTTTTTTAATGTGTAGGTGCATGTCTTGGGGATTTAAAAATTTCAAGGCTGGTTTACTTATGCAAAGCATGCCTACGTCTGGAATACTTAGGGAAAGAAAGCGGCTCCATGTTGTCCGAGTTCCTCAAGGGACAGAAAAAAAAAAAATTGGAGACTGTTGAAATGCAGATTTGAAGTAATTTTACTTTAAATATTTTGGGTTCTGCGACATTATTGTGAAAAATTAAAGTTGTTGTGCAATACTTAATTCAGACATGTACCACAAGTTAATGGTAGACTAACACTGGGGGGCGGGGTCTGGGCATCATGCTTTCGTCAGCATCCTCTTGAGCTTTTAAGTCTACTATGTCTGAACTGTGGTTTCTTGTTTATCCTTTTTTCCTTAGTTGGACTGTAATGTATGGTCTGTCAACCTGTGAATCTTTAAAGTATGATTCAGGTATTGTTGTATTCTTTACTGTGTAATAAAAACGCTTAAAAAAATCTGGATTCTCTGTCTCTCTTATCTTCACTGTGTGCCAAGGGGGCCACTCAGGGACCCTAGCCTGGGAAGTCAGTCCTTCATAGAACACCCCTAGAGTCTTTTCATCTACAAAGCATGCTTCTAACACAAGTCAATTTATCCATCAGCGATGAGGGAGAATGATAGGAAAGACAAGACCCTTCTGAGGTCAGAGCAGTTGATTGTGGAAGGAGAGTCAAGGCCTTCCATAGGAAAGAGAGCTTAGTGCCATTGCTGTGTTGTAATATAATTAAACTTGAGTGCACAGGCTTAGGCTTTCCTCTACAGAATGGTCCACTCACATCTTCTGAGGTTCTGGCCATCTGCAGGCCTGCACAGCTGCATGGCAGACCCACTGAGGCAAACTTCCTCCTCTGTCTGCCTTGGACTCTCACTGCCTTTTATTAGAAGTTGGCAGCATGTCCACTCTTGTTTCTGCTCATCTCTGACATGCACTGTGATTGTGTCCAACTTAGCTGTAAGACCCACGTTATTCCTTTTGTCAGATATATAATTTTTTTCTCTCGTTCATGTACTAGTTACAAGGTTGCTCAGCATTTAGAGAACCCATCCTTCTACACTAAGAACCCAGTTAATTTTTGTGTGGATTTCAGAACACATTTTTGGAAAGATTCTGCTGTAGCAGAATTTCCCGTTCTCTCAGAAGGTTCTCTGTTTTATGGGCCAAGAACTAGTGGTAAGGAATCCAGGGTGACAGTGCATGTGCAAGACCTGTATCTGGAGCCATGTCACCCAGATGGATGCTGCCATAACCTCTGTTCAGCTCCCTGCTACACCACCTGGGGCCTATCCCCATCCCAAGGCCTGGAGTCCACAACTGATCTTGAGAAATGCAACTTTTTTTATTTTTATTTATTTTTTTTTTTTTAATTTTTAAAAATGATTTATTTAATAACAACATACTTAGAAGAAGCATATCATTACAACACAATTGACATATTCAATAACGTTTTCCTGAGGTAGGATGCATCTCTTTCAAATTTGGCTGTAAATTTTTAGGTTTACAGTTGAATTATTACAGTTATACAATATTGTACTCAGTATAAACCCTATTTTTAACATTTCTTACTCCTGTCCCCCTGTCCCCCCTAAAGGAATAATTATCAATGTTTAAAAGTATGAATAGTGACTATTTCACCCCAATGCCATAAATAGGTTAGATATTTAGTTTGGTAGTTAATTTTTTTCCTCAGAAGTTAGACCAGCCTGGCTTAAGTTTCCTATCCTTTAGTGTATGATTATATACATATTCTCTTCAAAGTGGAACAGGCCAGAAAGCAGCAGATGCAAAGACCAGAACCAGGACCATGGAAGTAGCTCCCTTGTAAGCAGTCCTTGAAAGCAAACTAGATGTGTTGGATAAATGGATATTTATTTTAGTTTAGATGAAAGATGTGAATAAAATTCAGAGGCTTCTGGGGTGAGAACCAATTTTTATGAAGTGTTATTGATGTATTTGATAATATTAAAACTGATGTCTGCCATAAATGAGCACAAAGCTATTTCCCCAGAATGAGTGGGAAGGGGATTATCAAAGGGTGCTTTTCTGTATGGGTGTCTATATCTTTATTCCAAGGTGAATAAATAAAGTTGTACTTGCCTAAACCTGTCCCTTGTCATTGTATTCTCAGCTCTGCTGGAAAAACTGAGTCAGGCAAATACAAAAAATGTATTTTCCCATCAAACCTCTCCCATCTACATAGACAGAGAGGTAGGACCAAAGTTGTTTTTCTTTTGCTTTTGGAGCTTTCAAATTTAAATATAACAGTGTGTTGAAAACATTTCAAGAGTATACATGGGAAGACTATAAGGATGTCTTAATGCTAATGTGACCATCCAACTTGCTGTAATGAAAATAGCAGTTGAATGGGAAGGAAAATTTGAGGGGGCCTGAGAAAGGAATACCTGTTTTTAGTTCCCAGTGCTGATAGATACTGTAGTGTTGGGGCGCTCTACCCCATTGTCAAGAAAAGAGTGGGGTATCACAATGAACCTCATATCCAAGTACATTCCTGTGTATCAATGAAAAACAAAGATTATGAGAGCCATCGGGAATAGAGACACATGATGGGAGACACATGGATGCCAGAACCCCAGGGTATAAATTAATGGCACCAGGAGCCTTTTTCAGTACCTAATGCGGCCAGGCACCCAGTTTAGCACTCAATAAATATTAACTGTAAACGCAGCTGTGATTCTTCAGCTTAGAATAACACAGTGCCAGTGTTCACAGAAATGAACAAAACTAGCTGTAGGAACTGAAAGCATCAGGGAAATGATTTAATTGTTCGAGGAGTGGATTGGAAGAGGAAGATTAAAGCTTGTGCAGCTTGATCAGACAGTGACAAAGTAATGTGACCACTGTGTACAAATATCACAGGTTGTAAATGCCAAAGGACGGAACTCTTAATTTACTGAGAGACAGTAAACCGGTTATAGGTGACAAGCACATATTAAATTGTCACAGTTCTCTGTTAATTTATCCATAGAAGTTATTACTCATAAGTCAGAAAGTATTTTGGGATTTATCTATCTAACAGCCCTGTGTGAACACAGTGGCTTTGTTGAGACCTCATGGTGACATAGGATTCTGCTAGCTTTGAAGCTTCCATGTTTTCTCCGTCTTCCCCCTGCCCTGTCAACTTTGAGTTTCCCCAATTCTCTTTAAGTCTCCCATCTCTTCTGCTAGATCTGTTCTACAAACAGGCCTTTTAATATTTTCAGTGATTTCCATTCCTTCATCTCAATCTTTTCCTCATCAGACCAGTCCTGCCTTCTTACTAAAATCCCCTGAAGGTCCTTGTGTGAAACTTTCTGAAGCTGAGAGCAACAGACTTGCCTGCTCAGCCTTGTTCTCTTAGAAACGTTATACTTAGTTTCAGATCCTCTCCATCCAGTATAACCCATCAAACAAACCACGTAGGAGAATTGGTGATTATGAGGGCAAGGAAAAGGCATGCTGTCTCACAAAATATGTGTTGGAATTAAAGAGGGGAAGCTTATGGCCATCGTAATGCCATGAAAACACTTTGTGTACTGTGGTCCCGAAACAGTACACATACTTTCTTCAATGTACAGTTACTTTCAAGTCTCTGGGCTTTCTGCTTCCAACACCCTCTGTAGTTATCACTACTATTCAACTAATTCCTGGCTGATCAGCACAATACTGACTCCTGAACTTTCTAGACCTAAGGAGAAAAAGGCTTCTTTTCATTTTCCTTTTTAAAACGCTAACAAGAAAGGTTTCGAATGTAGTTCAGCGCATCCATCCCTATATGCCTGAGGCCCTGGCTCTTAATCCCCAGCACCAGGAAAAACTACAGCAGCAGTAAAAACCCTAACAAAATACTGGTATTGTACTGCAATTTCCTATAGAGTATGTGTGCATAAATATATATATA